AATTTTGTTTAATTCAATATTAAAAAATTAAAAATTGAGCACAATATTCATATGCGTTTATATTTTGTGCTTCATATATTTTAATATTTATTTTATGCTTATATTGAAAAATAAAAATCTCAAATTTTTTTTTACATTCGTTTTGATAAGTGAATGTACAGTGTTCTGCATTTTCGGTATTTGTAAGTGCAAAAATCTATATATAAAAATACGGTAAGATGCAAATACGGTAGGTAACATATACGGTTAGTTACCTGCAAATACGGTAAGCTACAAATACAATAAGTTATTTGTAAATACGATAGGGTGCAAATACAGTAAGCTGCAAATACGATAGACAGCATATGCAGAAATATAAGGTGCCATTTTAAGATTCCATTTCCTAGCACCATGGCCAAAATGAACTCCTGCCTCCATCATCTCTTACGGTAAACTGCAAATACGGTAAGGTGAAAATACGATTTTTTTGTTTGCAAATATGGTAAGTAGCATATATGGTAAATTTCAAATGCGGTAGGCAACATTTACGGTAAACTGCATGCAAATACAATAAGCTACATATATGGATTTATAATTTGTTATAAATGTATAAAATTTATTTAAATGCTCGAGAAAAATTGTAATTGAATTAAATCCTTCCAACATCATATCATTATAACTGTATAATTTCTCAATACCTGCACAGGTTCTTGTACGGTATTTTGTGCTAGCATATTCAACACAAATGTGGGGATCTTACCTCAAAATCCTTTTTTTTTTTTTTCAATTTGGTACCACCAACAACTGCAAAAATCACAAACAATATACCAACGAGTTAAGGTAAAAAAGTAAAAATTCATGTACGTTAAATAAGAAAGTAATAATCAACCCATAAGTGGACTTTTAAAATGAAATGGAACAAACATACACAAACTGGAGAATGCAACTTTGAAGATTCTAATTACATGTATACATCTCAATTTTCTGGGAATGTTTTGAATTCTTTTCAAGAATTTCGAACAAACACATAGAGAAAATAAAAATAAATAAAGAATAAAGGTAATGGCTTGAAAATTTCATTGAAGAAGTTGAGACTCTCGTCAAACTCAACTGAAGATTGACGGTTTCAAAACCAACAAGAAAATTCATTCTCAAATATAGCCAAAAACCAAGCCAGAGTTTCTTTCACAAATTCATACAAGCGTGAAAATTGGAAATGAGAGTTTCTTACATTTGTTAGTGTGAAACTTGGAAAGAAAAAATTTGTCCTTATCCTAAACAATTTCATGTTAATCAAGTAGGGTGCTAAAAATAAATAAATAAATAAATTTGCTCCGCACTGTGCGAAGTGAGCAAAGTGCGGAGCAACTCTGCACTTGCTCCCCACCGTGTAGAGTTGCTGAGTTTTTTTTTTTTTTTTTGGAGGATTCTAATTACGTGTATACATCTCAATTTTCTAGGAATGTTTTGGGTTCTTTTCAAGAATTTTGAACATATACGAAGAGAAAATGAAAATAAATAAAGAATAAAGGTAATGGCTTGAAAATTTCATTGCAGAAGCTAAGACCCTCGTCAAACTCAACTAAAGATTGATGGTTTCGAAACCAACAAGAAAATTAATTCTCAAATACAGCCAAAAGTCAAGCCCGAAGTTTATTTCACAAAATTCATACAAGTGTGAAACTTGGAAATGAGAGTTTCTTATCTTTGTTAGTATGAAACTTGGAAAGAAGAAAAATTGTCGTTGTCCTAAATAATTTCTTGTTAATCAAGTAGGGTGCTTTAAAAAAATAAAAATAAATAAAAATTTGCTCCGCACAGTGCGGAGCAACAGTTGCTCAATATGCCGCACTTTGCTCCCACAAAATACGGAATTACTCCGCACAGTGCGGAGCTTTTTTTATTTTTTTAGCGTCTGCAATAAAATTAACAAAGCTAAATATTCGATATTCCAACAAAAATGAATTCATCAAATTAACATTAAAGATCACACTAAAAGCAATACTTTCTTGGTATTCCAATAAAAATGAATTTACCAAATTAACGTCAATTTACCAAATGAAGATCACACTAAGACAATAATCTTTCACATGATTTGCCATCTCTCAGCACTGTGATGAGAGTTTTTTTTTTTTTTACTCCACGTTGTATGGAGAGTTGACAAACCCTCCTCACATGGCTTGTCATCTCTTCGCACTGTGCGGGGAAGTTTTTTTTACTCCGCACTGTACGAAGAGTTTGCTAACTCTCCACACTATGCGGAGAGTTTTTTTTTTTTTTGCTTTTTTTTCTTTTTTCTTTTTACTCAGCACTGTACAGAGAGAGTTGACAAACTCTCCGCACATGTTTACACTCATGTCAGTTTATATATACTAAAATAATTATTTTTTTAATGCTAATGGCATGATGTGTGGAAGAATATTTGTCTTACCATAAATAAAATGAAAAATAAAAAATGACATCATGCACAATAAAATTGTATTAATTTACTGTTGCATCAACAGTAAACACTCCTTCCCCTTTTTATAAGAAGCTAGTTACTGTCACGTTCGTTGTACGAATTTTAAATTTATCGTATTTTTATTAGTGTATGAATTTTAGTTTTTTGAAATTTTTTTTAAGCAATATCTAAAAATGTTTTCACGATATAAGAAAATAATTGCAAATTATTTGTACAATTACATAATCGTATTGTGTCATCCAGAAAAAATATAATTGTATATTTCATATTCGAATAAGAAATATACGAAATTATACAAATTATTTTGCTTGTATTTTTTGATAGTGTTGATATGATTGAGTTGAATGTAAATATTATATTTCTAAATTTTGTGTAATTCAATATTGAAAAATTGAAGATTGAGCACCACATTCATACGCGTTTATATTTTGTGCTTCATATATATTTAATATTTATTTTATGTTTATGTTGAAAAAATAAAAATCTGATTTTTTTTTTGAAATTCAATTTGGTAAGTGAATGTATGGTGTTCTGCATTTTCAGTATTTGTAAGTGCACAAATCGGTATATAAAAATACAGTAAGCTGCAAATACGATAGGTAGCATATACGGTAAATTGCAAATACGGTAGGCAATATATACGGTAAGGTACAAATACGGTAAGTTGTTTGCAAATACGGTAGGCTGCAAATATGGCAAGCTATAAATACAGTAAGCTGTATATATGGTAAGTTGCCTGTAAATACGGTAATCTGCATATATGAATTTATAATTTGTTATAAATATATAAAATTTATTTAATATTGAATTTCTTAAGTATTAAATGTTCTAATTCAATATTGTTTCTTTTTTTATAATTTTATTTTCGAGAATATAAAAAATGTGGTTGTGAAATTGTTAATTTTTAAATGTGTTTTTTTGTTGAAAATAAAAATGATTTTTTTATATTATTTGTAAAAAAAATTATAGTAATTTTATTTGCGTAATAAAAAGATTTATTATGCATTTTTATTTTTTGCATTTTGTGAAGAATTTTGTTTATGGAGATTGACAAATATATTCTTTCACACATGCATTATTCCATCAACATTAAAAAAAAAATTAGTATATATAAACTCCATGAGACGAAAAAAAAACTCTCCGCACATGAGCAAAAAAAAAAAAAAGATCTCGCACAGTACGGAGAGATGACAAACTATCTCTCCGCACAGTATGAAGAGAAAAACAAAAACTCTTCGCACTGTGTTGAGAGATGGCAGTGCGGAGAGAGCAACTCTCTCCGCATAGTGCGAAGAGAAAAACAAAAACTGAAAAACCAAACTCTTCGCACAGTGCAGACTCTTTCTCTTTTTTTTTTTTATTCCCGAAAATACAATTATATAAAAAGAAAATAATATTAAATTAGTACTTAAGAAATTCAATATTAAATAAATTTTATACATTTATAACAAATTATAAATCGACGTATGTGTAATATACCAAAATTTGTCATTGTCGTCTTGCTTACTCCCATGCTACAGATCACAATTATGCTAACTTTTTGTCCTTTAGAGCATCCATGATTTCTAAAACCCTTCAATGTGTTTTTTTAGTAAACTTTAACAAATTAACAGCAAAAGAAAAAAGAATTATTCCCCAGTAAATGATCAATCCTATGTGCAAAATTATATGAGCTATATGAGATTGAAAATAAATATGGTTGATAGGATTGAAAGTTCCTCTTTCTGATAGATGCATTGATTTGTCATTACACTTATTGATTTTAACTGGGTGGGTGTTTTGTGTATCATTTTGGCACGTAATTAAACAATAAAGCTAGCTTTTGTCTTTGGAACTATTTTGTTATCTCAGTACGCAACATTTCGTGAATTTTTGAATATTAGACTATATTTCATCAATTCTACTATTTCTTTTTTTCTTTTTTTTTTACTATTTTCCTTGCAAGCAAGTGGATTCAAGGCTCGAATCCATAGTTTCATAACAAATATATAATTTATATAGGTCCATTTGAAAAATGAAATAATAAAATAAAATTGTAGAGCTCTCTCTAGTCTCTACGAGCAAGAATGTGGTTTGAGTAATCAATCAAAATATCCATAATTAAAAGTTGAGTACGAATATGATTTGAATAATCAACTCTCTTCGCACGATGCGGAGAGTTTTTTTCTCTCTGCATTGTGCGGAGAGTTTTGCCATGGTGCAAAAAGTTTGCAAACTCTTTGCAATGGTTTGACATCTCTTCGTACTATGCAGAGGGTTTTTTTTTACTCCGCACATGGTTTGCTATCTCTCTGCACCATGTTGAGTTTTCTTTTTAATGCTCATGTGCGAATAATTTTTTTCCTCTCATGATAGTTTATATATACTAAAATTATTATTATTTTTTCATACTAATGACATGATGTGTGGAAGAACATTTGTCTGATCATAAAAAAAATGAAAAATAAAAAACGACATCATGCACAGTAAAATTAGATTAATTTATTGTTGCATTAACGGTAGGCCCTCATTCCCTTTTACGTAAGAAGTTAGAAATGCCAAACGAGAATCTCCACAAATTAATTTGAAAAATAGGCGGGGTTACCTGCAAATACATTTCTACCCCACTCAGTGAGACACAGCATTCTTCACACGCACTCGTTCAGTCTCTAAGTCATTTACTGGATCACTCACACAACTCAGAAAATTCTACAATAACACACTGTAATTTTAACAAAAAATTGATTTTTATACTCAATTTATACTCCACTAGACGTACATATATTTGCTAGGGTTTAAAGTGTTGCCATGGATTCAACAATGGCCACTCCATGCCCTTCTACTCCCAAATGGAATGCAGATCGACCATTCCTCACAGGTCGATTCCACCAGGTGTATATTCTTTTATGTATTCGTGCAAGTCACTTTACATTTATTGCTACTTTTGTTCTCCGCCACGGGCATAATTTAATTTTATCCTTCTATTGTCCTGGGCTATCAAGTTTTGATTTTTTCTTGATTTACCTCTCTATTACGATTTGATGTTGGAATTTCTGAGGAGTGGTTTGATTCTTTATTACGGAAAATTGTTTAGGAAATAAAATCTACATCTGGGATTACTTCAAAAGGGTTTTCTACGGATCACTTCAGGTACTCGTAATTGTGGTTTAATTGAATTTTTATTTTTATTTTTTTGTAAATATCTGTTTCTCTGATTTCCGTTAATTTTTTTTCCTATTCCCATGAAATTTGATTTTCGTATCGGACACATGTTTTGAAACTATCCAATTTTTTCTGTTACAACTAATACCACTATATTACTCTTATTGTTTTACTATACAGTCCCGGGGTGGACAAGCCAATAGGTTGTTACCATGCTGCAATTCAGGTATGTTTTTATTTGCACTTCAAGAAATCATTTTACCTGTTAACAGATGTTCAATCAACAGTAAGATCGAAATATTACAAATTAAACTACACCTGGCAGATTCCATGTGTTGGGACTATCCGGTAACAAAACAGAAAAATACTCATGATGCTACCAGAGTGGCTGGCATATGAGTTGGAGAAGGGCCTCAAATCTTTTTACACTTGCCTATTCTGTATGTAGCGGTTCACATCTTTCCATGCTTAGGATCCTTGGTCCAATAATAGAGTTAAAGCCAACCTGACTGTAACTTATTTTGTTAGAAGTGCCTTATATAATGCTGCCTCTCAGGTACATCTGAATCTGCTTGATCAACTATAAAGATTGCGTGCTTATTTTTATGCAGGAATTGATTGTTATTGATGATCTATTATTTGCTTTGGTCGGAATTGAAGGAAGATATATATCGATCAAAAGACTTCGAGGAAAGGATGATAGTATCATCTTCCAAGTTGACTCATCTATGGATTTGGCGCTTCAGGTAGAAATTTATCTTTTTTATCCTAGGTTTTTGTGTTTTTGAGCTGCAGAGCCTTGCTATTTTTGCAAAATATCTGAGGCAGGATTTGAAGTTTAGAGAGATGATTGATTTTGAGGGGCTTTTGAGGTGTCGTGAAGTTTTAGGCTGTGTATATTTTAATTGGTTAAAGATACCATTGTAGGACTCCGCGAAACGGATTTTTCCATTGTGTGAGAGCTACTTATTAGTTAATCAGTTTGTCGAGTCAAGATCCCATTTCAAGACTGGCCTCGTCAATCATGCTTTTGCAGCTGCACTAAGAGCACTCCTTTTGGTATGTCTTGTTATATCACAAGTTCTATGACAAACTTTTTTCTCTCTTTCTTTCAATAAATCTTTCTATAATTGTACAGTAATCCTTAATGTTCTGGCACAGCATGCTTTAGAAAGGTTAGATTAGATGTTGATTTACCATTGTTGGTAGTCATATATATCATATCTATGCATATTCACATGAATGTGCATGTAGCACTAGCAGAATGTGTTTACTCCTGCTAATAGCTGTTGATAACCTCAAGATTGAAAAAATACAGATTACTATTACTCGTGGGTTTTAATAGAATTTAATCTTCTAAAAAGTTTAGTTGGATGAATGAAACGGGAAGGGATGTTTAATAGTTTGTTATGTTTTATGGAAAGGTTGCTAGTATTTTTCTCCCTTTTTGCCCCATTTGTAGCCATTTTTAAATATTATTGAGTAAAGTAATTTAGTTTTCCTTCCACTTTCCCCTTTCACACTCAACTAATAAGCTCTGCGAAGGACTAGTTATCTATGTGTTACTAGATGAATTGATATATGGAACTTATATTTTCAATTAATTTCTATTTTAGGATTACCAAGCTATGGTGGCTCAGCTTGAACATCAGTTTCGATTGGGAAGACTTTCTATTCAAGGATTATGGTTTTATTGTCAGGTCTTACTTCTGACATCCCTTTACTTTTAATTACTTGTTCCCACATGATGACCTTTATCTCAGGTTGTATTTTATTATTTATTACAGCCAATGATGGGCTCAATGCAAGCTCTGTCCATAGTGATAAAGAAGGCTTCAGCTAATAATTTTACTGGTTCTGCTGTTCTTAACCTTTTGCACACCCAGGTATGAGTTACACAGTCACTATCATTTAAGAGGTCTAATATCAATAGCTTTGTACACAGTCTCTATGATTTAAGAGTTCTAATATCAATAGCTTTGTCAGTTGCCTCGTTATTCATATATGTTGACTAACCCCACCTCGCCCCTTCTTCACATGCACATCTATGATCATATATGTTAGGTGATAATTATTAATATATGTTGATGTGGTGATCATATATGTTAGATGATAACTATTAATATATGTTAATGTGGTTGAAGTTGGGGTCGAAGTTGATGGTTCTTTCACTTTCCTTTTCCTCCCTGTACATGGCTTGCAGTTTGCATGTGATATTTGAATTCCTAGTGTAATAATTGTATATGGAACAAGGGCTTTGCAGCAATTTGATGATGTCATATTGGGGTAGAGATATGACAGATAAAAATAAATTATATTATTTGCAGCTGTTGTCTGCATCTAAATTAGTACTGGAAACAGATTGAGAAAGGGATGCAGGAAACATCCATCAAGCTTTCGGTTGAAGATAAACTTCGGATTAATGAAATCAAATTATCTCTATACAGCAAAATTGATATTTAGAAAAAAATGTCATTTTCAAATCATGTGTTTTTGAATTGTATATGTAATGAGATTAAACTAAGGTAAAATAAGACTCAGTTAATGTATGTGAGGTATATGACAGTATTTTACATTTATCTTCAAGGCTTTGCTGATCCATTGCCCTAATCTTCCTTTAAATTGCTAACGAAATACTTTATACCCTTAAAAATATATTCACATCATCAATAGCAAGTCTTATCTTTCACATTATTACGTTGTCGCCTCCTGTCAATATTATTTCTCAAGGAAATAATTTTTATTCAGGTGGGTCTATGAAGGAGTGATTGATGATCCTTATGGCGAATTTTTCATTGCTGAGAACAAGTCTCTCCAAAAGGTATCGCTTTATTGTAAGCCCAAGATTCATTAGACTTGAACTTTAGGAGCTAACCATGTTGAACTTTTAATAGGAAAGTCTGACTCAAGATTACGATGCTAAATATTGGCAACAACGTTACAGCCTGAAAGGTGACATCCCTAGTTTCCTTGCAAATGCTGCTGAAACAATTTTGACCACCGGGAAATATTTAAATGTCATGAAAGAATGTGGGCACAATATTCAGGTTTATTTCATGATTCTCTTGCAACTACAGTATTTATTTGTCTTCAATATATGAATACAGGCTCTTGATCAGGCTGTTATCAGTAGGTCCCCATGGCAGAAAATTCTAAGTTAACAAGCGTCGGATCCAGTCATCATTATCGTGAGTGTATCAAAGCTGCTTACGATTTTGCCAGTGGCGAACTATTAAATCTCATAAAAGAGAAGGTGTTCAAACCTTCTGTGTTTTGTTGATCACTGCGAGTGCTTTAACTTATGACGTAAAGTTCCTTTTCTGATGATTTTTCTTTATGTTATTACCAGTATGACTTGATGGGAAAATTGAGGTCAATCAAACACTATCTTCTTCTTGATCAGGTAATGGGCTACTCATAGCTCAGTTTATTTATATGTTATTAATGTAGAGGTGGGAGTTTGGAATCTTATGTGTGCAATTTGATGTGCCGCAAAAAATCATTTGGTTTAGGTGAGTCATTGGGTTTGCCAAGTGGTTGTTTCATTTTTAATTTAACTACTCAAATCACTGAGGTATAAGACATGAAGTATTTTGAGTAGATCTGCCCAAGGATTGTGACCAAAAGCATGCTAGTGTTCTTGGAGATCTAATGTACAACTTCAGTTGCAGGCTGCTAGGTCATAGGCATTTGCACAATCTTTTCCATTATACTTTTTCTTTCCATTATATTTTTGTATAACTCCCCTAGTACTTTGAACTGAGGATGGGGAGAAATCTATTGACCCATTTCATGGTGATGGGATTAATTAGAAGATGAAGACACTATTTGAAATAATATTTAACGGAACACATAACCTGGACCTTTTCAAATCCGTTGAAGTAGAAATGTTAACTAGTTGAAACTGACAGAGGCCAGGAAGAGGAGGATGAAGATGAGAAAATGATCAGTTCAGTATTTTATGGTTGACGATAATTATTCATCTTAATTAGATAATAAAAGATGCTTGATGAACAAAGTAAGAGAGTGTTATTGTGCATGTTGACTAGAATAGATGGGATATTTAAAATCAATCAAATTATAGAAATATTAAGCCAGCAAGTCATAAGAGTAAATTCTAATAGAGGATGATTCAATATCGATTAAGTTGTAATTCAATGTCTTATATAATCAGATCTGATTAAATCTCAAGTTTATTGGGAATAAAGCTTATGTGGTTGGTCCTCCTTCCATCAATTGCTAAACTTTCCATTTTGGGACATCCTAGAATTATCTACCTATGTTGGTCGGACTCAGTTGTAGGTATCAGATACTGGTACATATCTAAGAGTTAGATCTTTCTTATTTTAAAAATTAAGATACGGGGATATGGTTAAAAAAGGATCCGAATTTAGGATACGGGTATGGGGATTTTTTAACAAAAAAAAAAAAAAAAAAAAAAAAAAAAAAATTTTTTTTTTTTTTTTTAATAAAAGTTTTTTTATTTTATTTTAATATAAGTATTTCTAGTTTTATAATTAATAATACATAATTTGCGAGAAAGGTAAAATATAAGAAATAAAAAATTTAATACAAAACATATTTAAATTAAATGGGTTGGATCATACAATTAATCAAAATAAAATAATTATAATTTTATTAACTCATCTTTACAAGGCCTACATGGTATATTAAAAATTGGGTCCACAGCCCACATTAAAAATTGGTTCAGAACCCACATTAAATTAGGGTAGATATCAATCGTCTTCCTCAGCTCCTCCCATCTTTTTTCTTTCTGCAACTGCTTTTCTTCTTCTGTAAAACCAAGGATCCGATTCATATCCTGTGTCAGTATCCATGTCATATCGTGTCGACACGGACACTTCTCCATTTTTTAAGAGTCTGAGCATCATAGTTATCTACTTTTGAGAAAAATAAAGTATTCTTATGATACTTATCCATTTTGTCATCAACGGGAAAATAACAATTTGAAAACAAAGACAATTACTAGTATCACTTGAGTCGAGATGACCACATTTGATACTCATCTCGAAAGTGAGCTTGGGGTGTTTGAGTGAGATAGAAATAAGGGAAGCTACAGAAGACTTTTTTGCCTTTGTGTTTCTCTTTTATTACATAATTTAATGAAGGTCAATTAAGAAACGAGCAAAATTTTGGCGGTCCCCTTTTTATATACGTGTTTTATCTGACATTCTTCTTTAATCATTTTGGACAATTGTAGTCTTTGTATGTTTTATACTTGGTATTGGCTTCTTCTAATGTTGGGTCTAGTTTATTTTTTGGAGGTCACAACTTCTCGGTTTATTGTTCGTATATATGTAGTCTCTGTATGTTTTATACTTGGTATTGGCTTCTTCTAATGTTGGGTCTGGTTTATCTTTTTGGAGGTCACAACTTCTCAGTATATTGTTCGTATATATCTTATTAATATTTGCAGGGTGATTTTTTAGTTCACTTTATGGATATAGCTCGAGAGGAGCTCATGAAAAAGCCGGATGACATTTCTGTGGAAAAGCTGCAGGTATAATTGCTCTTTGTGACATCCTTCATGTAAAAAGAAAAATTAAAACCAATTATCATTTTCAATTTCTTATTCTTATACTGGTAAAAAATTATCATGCATGTTTTGTTCCTGTTCAATAGTCCCTGCTGGACCTTGCATTGCGATCCACAGCAGCTGTAGCAGATCCCTTCCACGAGGACTTAACATGTTGTGTGGTCAGTGCTAAATTTTTTACTAGTTAAATCTTTGTGATACTGAACTATATTTGTTCCACATGAATTATAGAATTTGCCATTTCTTTTCCAGGAACAAACCACATTATTGAAAAGGTTGAGTACACTTAAAGATCTTGAAATCAGCCAAACTGTTTCCAGCAGTACTGATTTAGAAGAACCAGTGAGCATTACAGGCTTGGAAACATTTTCTCTGAGTTACAAGGTTTGTATTTTTGTGGCATGCTGTTTTCTTTCTCTTTCCTTATTAACTCTTATTCCTGTCCTTTGGTCCCAGCAATTTTTATAGTTCTAACTCCTAGGATGTGTTTGATCCACATTCTCTTTGAAGAGTGTATTTTGAAATAGTAGATTGATAGAGAATGTGTGGTTGCGTGTAATATTATTTTAATGAAGGGTATGTGGTTGAAAAAAAGATAGAGAAAATGTATTTTAGGAAAAATGGGAACCCCCCCCCCCCAACACACACCATAATGTTGTATTATTTGTGATTCAGCTGTTAATTGATTATTTTTTTTCCTGGGATATGTTACATTTCAAAGCAACATCCAACTATCTTCTTTCACTTCTGGGGATTAGTTGCTGTTAGTCCTTAAAATTTTTCTTCACCAGTTCTCATGCTGAAATAATAAAAACACGAGTTGGCTTGCAACAATTGTATAAACAAGATTTGCTATTAGATACAGCAACTACTGGTCAAGAGTTTTGAGGAAGTTTGGGTCTCTTTGAGTGGCTCTCCCTTTTGTAATTTAGTTTCGTTAATTATTTACGGAAAGCTCATTTTTGTGTTTCAGGTTCGATGGCCATTATCCCTTGTCATATCAAGAAAGTCCTTAACAAAATACCAGCTGATTTTTCGCTCTCTGTTTCACTGTAAGCACGTCAACAGACAACTTTGTGCAGCATGGCAACTACATCAAGTATGAGACAGGATCATTTCAATCTGTGGCCCTATAGCTTCTTTATTTTCTCCCAACAATGGTCTGAAATATTATTTTCCATTTTTAGGGCCTCCGCAGACTTGACATGCAAGGGATAGCTATCTCCGTTTCATCTTTGCTGTGTCGTAATATGCTTAAGTTTATCAATAGCCTTCTGCACTATCTGACTTTCGAGGCAATTCTTTCGTCATGATACTTTATTACATATTCTTTTTTCCCTTTTATGTTTTGAATGCTTTTTGTCTCTTTCTATTTTGTATCCATGGTAATGTATGAAAGGTGTGTGCTAGAGAACACAGTTTCCCCTTTCATATTCTTGGATCTTGAATTAATTTCCTAGGTTACAGTTGATTTCGAATGTTGTAGAATAGCTAGTTTGTGGCATGTAGTAGCATTGTAGCAATGCAATATTCTATTGTTAAGCCCTCCATTTGGGAGAATTTATAAATGGTTTAATTCATAAGCAATTAAAAATGGGTGTTGGATTAGTGGATACTACTTGTAGGTCCATTGAAATGTGTGATTGAAAATGAAGTTTGAGAATTTATAAATGGTCTATAAATCATTTATAAATTGCCAAACAGAGGCTAAATGTGTTAATCTGATGAAAAATGAAAAATCTACATAATGATTTTTTTTGCATTGATCTCATTTTAGCATTTTCCCTCAAATCTATTGCAAGACTAGGCTACGAATATAAATTTCAATGCATTAAGCCTTTGAACAGGTTCTTGAGCCAAATTGGCACGTGATGCACAACAGACTTCAAACTGCCAAGAGCATTGACGAGGTACGAAGAATATGTCATTTGACAGACTTCTCTAACGAACAAAACTGAAAGAGTAAAAAACATTTATTTTTTGCTATATGTCGTTCTTCTTGCATATATTCTAATCCCTTTTCATTTTGACACATTCCGTGAAGTAGGTTATACAGTACCACAATTTTTTCCTCGAGAAGTGTCTGAGAGAATGTTTGCTTCTTTCACCTGTTCTTCTCAAGGTTGGTCACATTCGTCACTTAATAGTTTGTCATGTAGATGAACTTTCAAGAGCAACTGTTTGACTTTTTTTTTTTTTTTTCAATTATACACCTTTTTAAATGTTTGGCTCGTAGTTGAGTCATTGCTTTAGGTCCTAATATTGGGAAGGGAAATAAGATTATGGACTCCAAATTTAATTGCTATTCTTCACTTTGTCTAATGATGAATTTCTTTGATGCAGAAGGTGGAGAGGATGAAACTGATTTGCCTTCAATATGCGGCGGCTACTCAGTGGTTAATTACCTATTCAAATGACACTCCCAAGACTGATGATTCTCCAAATGTTGAAAAGTACAAGCAACTGAAACTAAGGATACCATCTCGGACACAGAAAGTAGCTTCTGAAAATGCGAGTGTCATCGAATCCATATTGTAATTTTTTACTGAGACCCTTCCTCTCTCTCCCTCTCTCTCTCTCTGACACACACATTAGTTAACGTACAAAATTTGCAGGAAATTTGAGAGGGATTTCACAAATTTTTCCCTCAAATTAGTTAAATTTTGTGAGGGAATTCGCTGACATTTTCTCTCAAATTAGTTAAAATTTGAGAGGGAATTTACTCTCATACTGCTTAAGGTGCAAACTTTGCAGGAAATTTGAGAGGGAATTTACTGCTGAGCTTCGGAGTTTGGGACCAATCTTGAGCAGCAGTTCTCGTGCAGAGCCATATCTGACTCATCTTGCACAGTGGCTTCTTGGTGTGGGAAGGGACTAATTTGTTAGTAACGTGTTTGGTACATTGTAACGCAAACATTACAACCTTACACAGTGTATTAGAGCATTGCATGTGTTTAAAAACACATCTACTGCTTGGTAAGATGTCGGGGTTTTCCTTAGTTTGGCGAGTGTGGATCGTGAAGCTGTCCAAAAGAACCATTTTTTTTGTTGTTGAAATTACCAGCAAAAAGTACTAGTCTTGGTGCTAATGTTGGAGTTGTATTAGTGTCTGTACTACTTTTATCATCTGCTCGTAGTGATATAACTAGCATATGTCAATCAGCATCCATTGACGTATGTAAAACAATTCTTTTCTTGTAACTATTTTCATCCCTGCCAAAATAGCATGAAATGAACTGAGACTGACCCGCTGAACTTCAATTCGAATGCATAGGACTGTTAGTGAGAAGATTGATAACCTAACCTCATCCAAATTATAGAAAGAATGTTCCTATTGTTTCACTTCTGATTTGGAAGGCTTTGCATTCGGTCAATATTTGCTTTGAAATTACCTCCATTCTTTAGAAAGATGCATTAATATATAGTGAACACAATGATACTATAAACAAGATTTAAAATTCCTTTCTTTCTTAGGTACGGTCTAATTTACCATAACAAAACTGTCACAAGAAGGTACAGATCTCCCATTAAACTCAATCTATGTATTCTTGTGCATTTGGCATAAAAAGGGGAATGTAAGCATTCATACTCGAGAGAGAGAGATTTTGAACCAAAACAATGTAAATTAAAATTTCAAACCTCTATAAAGAATATTTTCCTACAAACTATCCATATAGCTTACATTATTCCACCAATACCATATAATACAAAACGATTAGCAATTGTCGTTTAATTGCATCTTGAAGCTAAATATATTTCCTTACAAACTAGTCCATGTATTCAAAATTATTCAATAATATCACAATAAAATACAGTTTTCAAGAGATGTCTAATTGCAACTAAGTCACAAGCACGATGTACTGATGCACAAAGATCAGAGTATACCTCAATAAACCCAGTAATAAATTTGTTCCTTATAAAGAATCATCCAATTTAGTGCGTCTAATCGAAGCCTTCTGGTACCTAAGTTTTTCAATTTCCTTCTCCAGAAAATCAAGAGTTGTATCAGTAACATGGTTTGGTGCACATCCAGCATCCAACATCATCTTTAAGAACTTATAAGCTTCCTTTAACCGACCAGCCTTGCTATGAACCTCAATAAGTGTATTGTAACTGACAACATCAGGATTTATTCCACTAGTCTTCATCTGTTGAAATAGCTTGTTTGCTTCATCAATCCGGCCAGCCTTCCCAAGTACATTAATTAAAGTATTATACATTACAATGTCAAGATAACCACCTTGCTTCATTAGTTTGTCCAGAACAGCACAGGCAATATCTGCCCTTCCCATCTTTCCTAAGCCTTGAATTATCACATTGTATGTTGCTATGTCTGCAGGGCAAACAGTCTCACCCATGGCAAGGAAAATACCCCAAGCCTCCTTGAAGTATCCTTTCTTGACAAACGTACTCATCATGGAATTGTAAGTGTAGCTCACAGGGTCAACACCCATATTTGTGAATATTTCAAATAACTTACATGATAAACTCAATTTTCCCTTGGCCAAAAATATAGATAAGTAGGTATTGACCATGTCGATGTCAAAAGAATCTAAACCTTTAGCCTCAACTCGTACCCCCTTTGAAAGAGAGAAAGGTTGATAAGAATGACTCTTTGAACTGATTTGGTTTGCCAGCAGATCCATATAAGGGGAAGACGACCACTCATCAGTTTCATGAACTTGTAGCTTGATGTCCTCTGCACTAAGCCCGGCATCATTTCCTGTTACAGCTAAATTAGTGTCCCTTAAAATCTCAGTAAAATCACCATCAGATGGAAACATGGGTGTAAAGTCCCTTGATTTGCTCTCTGGATTTTTCAGTGAAGTCTGCATATTTGTTTTCCACTTAAGAATAGCAGGAACCAAATTCCCATCCCTAATGTGCTTCATAAGCCTCTCCACCCCATCCCACTGACCTTCTCGATGAATTGTAATCAAAAGTGACGTTACAGTAACTAAATCTACTTCAAATCCCCGGGCGCCCATCTCTTCTACCAGCTGCAATGCTTCCTTAAGCTGACCCTCCCTGCAAAGATGCAAAATGACTATGCTGTAAGTAATCCCGTCCACAAAATTATTGCCCTTTCTCTTCAAATCACAAAACATAGTATAAGCAGCCTCTCCCCTTCCATTTTTAAACAACCCATCAATTAGAATATTATAGGTCCAGCAAGAGGCCCTGACACCAACATCAACCATTTTCTCAAATAGGTTGCATGCTTCCATCAGCTTCCTTGCCTTGAGCAAACCATCGAGGAGAGAATTATAAACAACTGTCTCGGCGCGTATACCATTATACTGCATCTCACCAAATATTTTCATTGCGTCATCAATTCTGTAAGATTTAGAGCAGCCTTGAATAAGAATTCGATAAGTGAAGGCATCGGGTTCATGACCTGAGGATCCCTTCAACTCCTCCCAAACAATCAGGGCATCCTTTACTTTCCCAAGAGAGCAAAGCACATGAATGAGGCTATTATAGGTACACAAATCAGGACTAAAAGAACCACTCTTTTCTTTCATCTCTTTAAACAGGCTTAAAGAAGTAGCCAAGTCACCCCACCACCCAAATGCATGCATGCATATATTATAACCCCATCTATCCAGTGGAAAGATCTTTGTATCGTGTAGTTTATCAAAAACTTGTTTGAATTGTTCTTTCATGTCAGCTTTCTTAAGACCAACAAGCAACTCATTACAAGCAATAGCATCAGGAATGACAATCTTCCCATTTATATCGGAAGAGGAGCCCAAGAGCTTGAGGAAAATAGATAAAGCTAAGCTGATTTGATTTTTCCTCACAAGAGCAACGAGAACCGAGCTATATATATCAGCATTCAAACAGCCGATCCTGATCAGGTCTTTCTCCAAATAATCAAAAATTTCCAGAGCTGAATCAAACTTTCCAGATTTAATGAACGAATCTAGGATCAATTTAAAAGTAGATGAATCAAGAACCAGCCCATCGCGCTTCATGGAGGCTAGCAAGTCGAAAATATCATCATGGTGCTGGTGGGGAAAATTACAAATGGTTCTGAAGATTTGAGAGTACGTGTCTGTCGAGTGCTTGTAATTCAATCTAAGAGAGACCCAGCGGAAGAAATCCAATTTCTTACCCGCATCAAGAGAGTTGCGACGGAGAAGTTGGAGGACAAGATCCTCGGATAAGGAAATAGAATCGATATCCTTTTCCAGTGACTTAACTCCTCCAGGCTTTGACAGAGCTTTGGCAATTGAGGCCACGACAAGGAGGTTTCCAAGTTTGGATGCCGCCGTACCAGCATTTACTGTGGACTTGAATCTTGTGTGAATAGGCATGAGGAAAGAGGTAGATGAATGAAAAAGAGGGTCATGGTGCATTCTTGCTTCTAATCACACTCCGAACTCATACTCATTGAAAGCTTCTATATTCCAAAATGCATTCCAGTTTAATTAAAGAAAAATCCAGGGTTGGAGCCAACTGGGGTGGAGTGGTGGCCGCTGCCACCACTGGATTTTGGTCCTGGGTATTTCACCTATTGCACTTGAGGGGCAGCCAGGCAAGGGAAAACCATAGACCACCGCATCAAAATTTCAATAGAAAATATTGCTGAAAAAAGCACTGTTGCTAGAGGTAGATTACCATCAAGAAACAACAATTCTGAAAACATAAAATAAATTATAAGGAGTTGAATTCAAATTAAACAAACCGAGTCGATTTCCACATAAAGCCCGTGATGAAGAAGATGAGTAGAAATCCCACGCAACACGAGATAAATTGGTGCCGAGGAGGGTGATGAACATGTTCCTGTTTTTAGTGTAATACCGAGGAAGTAAACTTTGGACGCTCTTCCCCCCTTGCCTATGAATATGACCACACACACGGGGGTTATTGTTTGATTTTGTTTGTGTGACCTGGACGAATAGCAAAGCCCATTGTTTGATAGGCTTGCCTTTAATTGGGATTTACAAATGGGAAAATTTCATCACTAATTAATTAATTATGGCATATTTCAAAAACAAGAAAACAAATTTCAAATTTTAAAAATCAATTTTTATTAAAAATTATTTATATAATTTGGTCATAAATTAATGATTTAATTTTACACTTATTATTTTTTGGTCACAAATAAGAAATTTTATGTCACAAATTATTTTATGATCACAATTCAAAAATTTTATAAGTCACAGTTTATTCAGTGATCACAAATCGAAAAATTTATAAGTCACGATTTATTTATTGATCATAAATCACAAAAATTACAAGTCACAGCTTATTTTACAGTCACTAATTATCAATGATTAACAATTTTTTAGGTCACACATTAATTTTCGATCACAATTTATCTTTTTCATTGGTCATATATTATTTATTGATCACAGATTAACCAATTTAATAATCACAATCAACCAAATAATTTGTGACCACCACCAACACTTACAATTCACAATCACACTTTTCAGGTCACGTATCCAATTATGAGTCACAAATCAACCAAACCACCGCGACCACCGCCATGACCACCCAAACCACCACGATCAACTATGACTTCCAAATTGTGAGTTACAATTACAATTTTCAGGTCACGGGTTCAATTATTTATCACAAAATCAACCAAACCGCCACGACAACCACAACCACCGCAATCCACCACTACAAACCAATGCGAAACCACTGCAAACAATACAAAACTTTTGCTGATTTGCAACTGCTCTAACCAACATCACCACCAACACCAAAGCCACCACCATCAACATCACTACATCCTGCATCAAAAGACCCAACCACCGAACCTTACACAATAGTCAACACGGCAACCACGCAGAACCACTGCCCACGGCACACACACAATACCACCACATCATAAGCCCACGACACTGCACAACCACAACACACAGTACAACAGTCAATCACAGCCAGATCCACCGTCGCAACCCACCGTCCAACAACCATTTACCAAAAATTTAAAAAAAAAACCACGGATTGGCGCCTTGGCGAAGCTCAGATACGTTGCGAGATCCTCACGACGACGAGGGTCTGCATTATCTGGCTAGCGATTCACGCTTCTTCTGGCCGGGGATGCCGTGAGTAGTGATGGCGCCGTGAATGGTTGGGGCTGGGAAGAGAATACGATGAGAGAGAGAGTGTGGCTGGGGACTAGGGAGAGGGCGATACGAGAGAGAAAATGTTAGGGTTTGGGATAAAAAAATGTATATTTAATATTAAAATTTAAATATGCTAATATCTGATTTCAGAAAGATTAAAGTTCCCATCTGATTTCAGAATTCATGATTTTAATGGTAGGGTTTTTTGTAATTACCACTTTACAAATATTTTTTCCCTAATGGAAAATGTAAGAATAAATTTAAAAAAGGTTGATCAACTGAATATTTAACTTGTGGAAATTATAAGTACCAAGTGTTTTTAAGATCTCAATTCATAATTAAGAGTTACATTTTTTTTTTCCAAAATCGATATAATTAATATTTTAAATATTAATAATAATATTATAAAATTAAATTACTTAACATATCCCAATCCACCCCACCTCCCTCGCAAACCCTAAATTTATCTTCATTCCCTCCTTTCTTTCTCTCTATATCTCACCATTTTCTCTCAATATTTCATCCAGACGTCGTCTCCCTTCCCTCTTAGCCGCACCTCCGTCGATATCCTGTCTCTCTCTTCCTGCACACAAGACCACCGATGTCTCCTTTGTTCGACATAATGCGCTTTCAGACTAGTGTGTTGAGGTACAGCTGTGGGATGAGGTCTTAAGGTGTGGCTGCACGGTGAGGTGCTCTATCTAATCTATTTTTTTTTGTTGATTGTTGTGGTGGAGGTGATAGTTGGTAGTGTCTAGAGAATTTGGGAATTTTTTTTGTGGAGGTTGTTGTAAAGGTCTAGGTTGAATTATTTCGTGTTTTTGTCAATTTAAAAGAAAATAAATTGCAGAAACAACAGAAAAAGAACAAAACGATATATTTCGTCCCAAAGAGGTGCCCGGATATTCAGCCTTTCGACCTATTCCCAAAGAGGTACCCAGATGTTGAGCATCTGTAAACAGATATAGCTCACGATCCACTAAGAAGAACCAAGAAAATGTTACAACATGTACGAAGAAACAGAAAGTTTCTTCGATATCTCTCTAGCCTCTTTACAGTAAGAAATCACAAAGATCAACCTCTACAATGAAAGCACTCAACTCTCATTTACATGACATACATAAGATTCACCACTAAGATGAATTTCAAATTTACAGAAGAAAGAAATCAGCAAACCCTAACTACACTCGGAGAAAGGGAAAAGGCAGAGAGAGAGAGAGTCATGAAGCATCGAGAGAATGAAGGGCCAAACCAAGTTAAATATCTGGTCAACAAGGAGTCAAGATCCAAGGGATGAGTATTAGCCACGTGTACTATTGATACTCAATTCTTAAGAGGCAGTTAAAAACGCGTTTCCGTGAGAACCTTTTTTTTTAAAACTTCAACAGTTGAAAACTAATTAGCCCAAATACAGATGATTCGATCCATGGTAAAATATGGGCCAAAAATTGTAAGGCAGCCCAAATTCAGTTTAACAGTTGTGTTTGTGGGTTGGTAGAGATGGAGGGCTATTGGTGGTGCGGTGGTGGAGATGGTAGTGGCAGGGATTGAATCGTTGATGGTCCATGTGGCAGTGGTCCAGGATTGTTCTCGATGAACGGTAGAAGGTTAATATTTTTCGAAGTGTAGATATGATGTCAAAGACGAAGGTGGCTGTAAACAGGGTATTGGTGGCGAATGGCAGTAGAGCATTTGGTGGTATCGGGTAGCAAGGACACGAAAAAGAAGCATAGAGGTGGTCATAAGTTATTTGGTATTGGTGTGGTGGCAATGGCGATAGTAGTGGGATGAGGAGTGGTGAAGTGATGGCCGTGGTCACAAATTATTATGAGCAATAAATAACGTGTGACTAATGAAATATGTAATTTGTAACCAATAAATAATGTGTGACATAAAAATTTGTTACATTGTAATCAATAATTTGATAACTTGTGATCTAGAAATAATTTGTGAATATTTTTTTAATTTGATATTTTTGTGACTATGAAATAAGTTGTGATTTAAAAAAATTTGTCATTTGTGACCAATAGATATTATGTAACCTATTATTTGATAAACTTGTGATGGAGAAATAAGTTGTTACCCATGAAATTTGTGATATGTAACTTTGACGTTGTAATTATGATTAATACATAATTGTTATCATAAATTATATAATATTGTGGACTTAATTTATTTAATTAATAATTATTAAAATATAATTTTAATTAATTATTCATAAATAAAATTCAATTAATATCTAATTTTTGAAATTTTAAACCTTGTTTCTTAGTTTTGAAATTGACCATAGTTAATCTATTAAATATAAAATTTTCCCATTTAAATTTTACTTTTGACGTATTAGGTGATTAAAAAAAATTGTTGAATTAGATATTTAGGAATTTAATTAATTCAAAGTTTTTTTCCTGCTATTGTTCCAAAAATGAAGATAATTTAATGATATGTTCTCTTTTTATTATTACATAGAGGAGAGTCAATTGTCTGAGAAAAAAATATTAGGGTGTGGTCGGTTTAGTTTTCCATTTTTTATTTTCGGTTTCAAAAAGATTTTTAGTTTTCCCTGAAAACGGCGCGTTTTGAGAATTTATAACTGAAAATGCTCAAAATGATAAAAAGTCGTTTTGCGTTTTCAGTTATAAATTCTAACTCGTTTTCGAAAACGATGGACCAAACGCGTTTTCTGCATTTTTGAAAACGAAAAACGAAAAATGGCCCGAACGCCAAACCAATCGCAGCCTTATCTTTTCATTTACCCAAGTTAGAGAATCACAAATTTGTGATCACAATTTTACAATACAGAATGGAAGCTCATATGAATCATAAATGTATAATTAGGGATGGCAATCGAACTCGTCCACTTGAGCTCACAAGCCTATATTTAAAAAAATACAAAATTTTTTTTTTTTTAAAGGCAGCGTGCTACTACCTATTTAGGCAGCTGGTTGCTGCCATCAACCTGCCGAGCTACCTTCTTTAAAAAAAATAAAATAATAAATAAAAATAAATAAAAAAAATCACCGAGCTTGCCCAGCTCGACTTGGAAAGGCCCGAGCCAAAAGTTCGGATCGAACTTAATTTTTTTAGCCGAGCTTTTACTTGTCTTGGCTCGGGCCCATAAAAAGGCTTGATCATTTTACTCAAGTCAAGCTCGAGTCTAAAATTTCGGTTCGTTGACATCCTATATATGATGCTAGATCATAATGGTCACATTTGACAACCATTTTAGATAACATGATATGAAAGGGGATATTAGAGTCATTTAACGGATGGTTATGTTATTAAAAAAAAAAATGTAGTCTCGTACTGTATTTATCAAGCCAGGTCTATACAACAAATTTAGAAAATGATGTTTATTTATATTAGATCTCTACTCTATTAATCCCCTATAAATTACTAGTGAAACTTTTAAGTGTAAGAAATTCTATTTCAAATTTTGATAGCTAGTGAAAAAAGGGAATTTTCAGCTTTCTGGACTCTTTTTTGGCCCATTTTCAAATTCAAATCTTTTGGAAACTGAGAGAAACAACCTACGATGACACTTTTCAAAGAATAATCAAGTAGAAAAAAACAAGAGAAGATGACCAACAATTCCATGGAGAACTAAACATCTTTGTGAAGCTATGAAGGTACTCAATTGAATCCGATGATTTCAACATTATTTGATTCATAGATTTAGAATTTTCATTTTAAACAATTCTATGATTTAGCACTTCTTTTCATATAAGTGTTTTGAGATTGGCTGAACTTTTATTAAATCCTTTATAAATTCAATCATCCTTTCTCTATTAAATGATTAAAATACTTGCTTAAATTTTAATCTCATTTATCTATTTTTATTGGTGTGAATCATTACTACTTTATGCGTAAAGTATATGGTTGTTTTTGAATTTTATTCTAGTAAACAAAGGTATGAATGTTGTGATAGGAGGGTTAAACCTTTAGAATTACAATTGAATCAAACTAATTTTAATGACATATCATTCGATTAGAGAAATTAGGTTAAACAACTCTGATTGAGTTATAAAAATGAATCATTGATGTTGAATGTTACAATCCAATTGAGGCAATTCACACGCTTCACTATTTCAAACCTTAATTTTATTTTCATTCAAACAAATAAATTTTTTCACACATTTAAAAGAACGTTCATCTTTCGAATCCTTTAAATATTTTTAAATATATCCCTTTGAAATTGATGTGCAAAAGCAATGCTACAACTACCACATTATTCTATGGGTGTAAACAGCATCCGAGGTTACTTTTTGAAGGAAAAACATGTGATCAACTATTTAAATGTAAATTTCGAATGAAATGGCCAATTTATCCTTAGTTTAAGTTAAAACAAACCAATAAAAAATAAAAATAAAATAGATCTAACCATCATTTTTGTCCTCACCATCTTTTTCTTCCACATTGTTCCTATGCCATCGCCACCCCATCCCCATCCCTACACACCACACGGTCCACACCACTCCACATAAGAATGCATTGCCGTGTAGAAAAAAGGGTAGAGGATATAATTTATTTATTTTTTCGGCGACTATGCAAAGCATATGAAGGAATGTATATATTTGTCAATAACAAGAATTGTAGGAATTCAATTTATCTTATTGGACAATATCTAGGGGGTGTAAATTTGGCTTGGACCTCCTGAAATAGGCTTGAACCAACCCAGCTAAAGGCTGGCTCGGTAGAATCGAGCCCCATTTTGGGGCTTCGGCCCAAGCCCGAGCTAGCCCACACGAACCATTTTCAGCCCATAATGAGCCACAAAAAAAAATAATAATAATAATAAATAAAAAAAATTAAAGCTACAGGCTGCTGTAGTTGTAGTATACAGCTACCTGCAAATGCCACACAGTTGCCTACAAAAGGCATTTGAGGCTGCAACATGTTGCATGTCACGTGCAGCGTGTGTGTTTTATAATAATAAAAAAAATACATGAGTCGGCTTGGTTCGATAGGGCTCAAGCCAAAAGCTTAGATCGAGCCTACATTTTTTGGCCGAGCTTTTATTTAGCTCAGGCCAAAAAGAGCATGAATCATTTTTACTCGAGCCTCAAATTTCTACTCGCAAGCCGGCTCAACTCAATTCGTTGATATCCTTAAAATATTTCATAAATCTGATTCGATTGGAAAATATAGAGTGCGTTTATTTGTCAATACTTTTCATGAAAAATGTCATTTTCACCCAAATTCTTACTTTTGGGTTATTTGATTGATATTTTTTTTATGAAAAATATTTTCTTATTTTTGGTTACATGATCATATTTTTCTTGAAAATAAGGAATTTTTTTTTTTAGGAGTATGCTCTTGTTTCCGAGATCGCTTTCTATTTCTTTTTCACTCTGCCATCTATCTACCAGTAAAAAAAGACAGGTATAACATTTTAAAGATTGAAAATAAAATCAATCAAACATATTTAATTGACAATTTCCATGCAAATAATTTCTAGGCAATTTTCTTTCAATGTAAATTAGAATTCATTTTCTTTCAATGTAAATTCCATACTTATAATCAAACACACCCTTAGTGTAAAAATTACCATGTATTGCAATATGAAAACTTCGTATTGTTTCTCTGACTTGCACAAGATGCGCAGTTGATAAACAAATTATTTCGCCGCAAATCATATTTTCAATAACAAAGTAACTTGAACTAAAAGTATTCACCTCAAATTAATAAATTACATATTTTTATTGTTAAGATTTCTAGGACGATTGGGATTATAGAACTACGAGTAGTGTCATACCCAAAAAAAAAAAAAAAATAATAATAATAAATAAATAAAAAAATCCAAAACATGCTAAAATCAACACCGTACAAGGTGCAACAGAGATTTAACTTATGATTTTTGAATGAAATGGTCATTTCATTCAAAACTTGACATTTTAACAGTCAAATTGTAATTACATTTTTTAGTGCAAATGTTTCCTTTTAAAATAGTTGGAAAAAATACAGAAGATCATTATGTCCGATCTCAAGTTCGTGGAAATTTGTAATAAATGAAAATTTAGCGTTACAACCTTCAATCTGATTTCAAACGAGTCCTCACTTTGGCCCTCAATTTTTATAATTCATTTTTTCTCTAACTCATTTTCAACCATACAATATTAGATAAAATAATTTTGTTCGTGAATACACAACTTTTATTTACTTTCAACTACAAAATATCCAAAAAAATCACTTTTCACAAAATTTATTACCAAGAAATCTCTACCAAGTAGGAGCGCAGTAAGGTAGACTAATATATAAAATTATTTGGTAGTAATTAAAATCTAAATTTTAATCAAAATCAAAATCAACAATTAATTTTAATCACATTTTATGGGTCCCACAACTTTTCAACCACACATTTCATCAACTTCTATCAAAATCTACTAAAAATCTGATTTTAATTACTACCAAACATGGACTAAATGGTATTATGATGATGCACAATATTTTATGTATAGTAGATAAGTGAAAACTACGCCTTAAGCTGGGTGACTTAAACGCTATACTTTAATGATATTATCCACCTATACATACAAGACTCAAAAAAGGGGCATGCAACTGAAACTCAAGAATTTTACGCTTTACAAGTTTATTTTATACCCAATGGGCGAGAAAACAGAAAAATCAAACTTGAAGGACAGGAGAAAACTAAAACACTTCTCTTCCCTCATCATCACACTTCCTTGACTGTTCTATACACAAAATTTCAGAAGAAAATAAAACTTAAAAATAAGAATGATTCATACTGCATGTTCAAAGAATATGCACTTCTGGAGAAAAGCACGCAACTGTATCCACATTCCACAAGTACGTAGATTATATCAAGATGCTCACAATCAGGACTCAGGAGCGTCGTATACCAATGTAATTATCAAAATAGGAATTATGGGGCCGAACATCGTGCTTCAAGGGGTATGTAAATATCTTAAGTGGTCAACTACATCACAGGAACTGCTGAGCCTTTGAATATCAGACCGGTGAAGGACATTTGCTTGGAGGCGATTGGAGCGTTTGGATTTAGTATCCATAGGCATGAGCTTGCCAGAAATGCTGTAGCGTACACGAACACGGTGATCTATCGTCTTTGTTGAGAAGTTCCCGTGTATTTTAACCACCAAAATGACTTCCTTGTCCCTGGCATCTTCACACCAACAGTTTTGTGGTACACCATCCACAAATTCCTCCAGTGTTTGGTATTCCTCATGGCAGACTGAAATCTCAGCAATATGACCCGGTTTGATTATTCCTGTTGCCGGATTGATCTGTTTAGATTCAAAACCAAGAAACATTTAGTAAGTTTCTACGGGGTTCTGGTTATCCAAAGCCAAAGCTTGTTGAATCATTATTTCTACAACTGATCAACAAAAAGTTTTTACACTAATCAATGTTGAAAGCCTATATTTGGCTTATGTTTATTGAAAAACGGTTTATTGACACTCAAGCAACTTTTTATCAACACATTTCGAAGGACCCACAGGTAAACTCACTTATCCATTACTTGTTTCTATATATTTATAATTTAAACTGTTTACAGAAACTTCCCAAATATGCTCTGAATTTATATACATAAATGTGTCCTCTCCCGAACAGTTTAAGCTTTTATATGCAATGGTTCAACAAGTAATGTAAACAGGCCCTGAGACTAACACGGGGCTCACAGAAACTAAGTTGTCGCAAATTTGACAGAAAGTTAATAATGGCTATTGTCGTGAATGAAAGCATATAAAAACAAAGATAGAAAATCGCATTTACCGTTACTGCCTTTTAACCTCTTATATTTTGATTTCAATACTTACCCTATATCAAATGAGCATAGACAGGACATAATTTTTAAGAGAATGAATCTGAAATACACGTGGTACATTCCATGTGCTATGTAGACAACGATGAACCCAGTCATACATTCTTTATTTATCAGAACCTCAATTTAGTAAGTGCAATCAAGAAATTACCTGAAGCCACCTGGGGAAGCCAAAAGAACCTCTTGCACAATGATCGAATGCTTGTCCATCCTCATTGATGGTGGACTGACCTTCACAAATTATTTCAAACAGAGCTACGTCTTCCCCAGATTTATTTGAGATGCGCAATACAGATGTATCCTGATTCTGTAGGATTATATTGTTTGTGCTAACAATTGATTCTGGAACTTCGGATAATTCTTCAAGCAGATGTTTGATTTTCTTGTTTGATTTAACTATTTCACCAAACTCTTGTCTTCTCACTGACTCATCGACTCGGGCAACCTCCACATTGAAAATGCAACGGACAGGCTTGTGGTCACTATCTGTCACATCCATGCAAGCTTCATACCTGTCACAAAGATGTCAATGATGATGGAATAAATAATCACTGATTAGAACTCATTTATTATGAAGTTCAAAGTTTTATATGAAGGCAATCTTCTTGTCATTCACACTCAACAAAATAGCTAATGTGCTTCACTTTCTAATATGTTACTCTACCTGACAATATAAAATAAAGACTATCATGTTGGGTTTTCGTCCTCATTCAGAATTATAGAAATTCAAATTTATCTTCCATGAACCTTGTTCTTGTAAATCTTCAAGTCTTCCAAAATAAAAGTAAGCTTCAAGCAAATTTAAAATAATTAACTAAATAGATAAACAAGCTTGATCAAAAAGAGGTATAATATCATATGGCCATATCTAGTTTACATGTAGCTACATATGCTAAAATAAGTCCATAAATCATGCATAAACAATGAATATAGTTCCTGTCAAATAATGGGTATTGTAAATTTCTTAATGAAATTATGAACTGTTGTGTACCGATATATTATATTGATATGTGGAACAAGCTTTGTTCTTTCCTATCATAATAGGTATCAGATGGTATTACTTAAAGAAAAATGTCAATAAGAGTGACGACTCCATTAGCTAATCACGTGGCATATATTCTCGATGCATGTGAAAGAACAACCCTTCTAAGACAAACTTACAGCAAAATTGAAGATACTACAGGACAGTCCAAGCTGGATGCAGATACTGAAGCTGAACGGCTATCACGATACAAAATTCTGTCACACCAGGCAGGAGTTCGCTTCTTTTCACCAGAATCATACCCTTAAAAGAATCATCAACAGATTAGATCTCAAAATAAAATGAAAGAAAAAAATTTATCCTAATTATTTTCTGTCAATTAATAAGATTTTCTACTAATTGCTATGCATTTAACTGTCATATAAGAAGATAAATCCGAACGCCTACGCACAAAATCTCATTTAACTACTAAATTTTGGCCAACATACCTGCTAAACCAGCTTGGTGTCTCTCAAATTTGTATGTTGGAGGAAATCTGATAATAGCTTCCCGCATCCCTTGGAAGACATTTCCAGCTTTCATTTCTGCTCGTAACTGATCTCTCTCTCTAAGCCAGTCAAAGCATCTTTGAGAAACAAAATCCCTCGCTTCATCATAAGTTATGCCGTCAAGTCGATAGTTGAAGTCTCCCAGGAATACAACCATGTCCACCTCAGAAAGCTCTGGTATCCCATCGACGGGATTAATAGCCATAGCCTGTACAAACATCAGCATTGATAACATTAGTCTAGCCCGTGAAATTTGATCAAAGACACATTGTTATGGAATAAAAAATGGAAGCTGTCATGATGAAATCTACAGACTAGATAGTAACAGTACCAATTAAAGTATATACATACATTTGTACTGCGTAGCATATGAATCGTAGATGATACGCCTGCTGCAACAGAAAGGACCAAGGGCAAGCACGAACTATAAACAAGCGGTAATAAATACATTGAGCAGGCAAGCAAGCAACATAACAATAGGTATCGCACCATACCAGCAGCAGCATTAAAAAGGTTAGACGGTCGACTAAAGACCATTGTTTGATATACATGGTCAAAATCAGCATTTCGGCGGCTAACAGCCTCTAAGTGTGCAGCAAAGTGACAGTTCACAAAGCACATTACCCGATCATACACTCTCATTCTCAAACCAACGGCTCCCTGCTCAGAGGAACATAGCCAAATTAAAAATATACAGAGGAAAAATGTGGAATAAAAAATCATACTATGCATAGACCTATTCAATGAACAACCAACGCAGTGCTTTTAGAGGAAACCAATAAAGAGCTATTAGAGGAAGCTAACTTCATTTTTGTTTGAAAAATAATTTTCAAAACTACTACTTATTCCGAGAGTGCTTCTAGAGGAAACCAGATAGGATCAGTTTGCTCTAAAAACTATTCTAGCTAGAAGAAACACTTTCATAAAATTAGTCAAACGAGTCCAAAAATAGTTTTTGAATCTCAAAAGCACATTTTGACTTTTCAAAACCAAGCCAAACGGACCATAAGGTGTGTATCGCAAAGAGTCACAAATGATACTGCAAAAGTAGATAATGAAGTATATTTCCATTCGATTCAAAAGCTCATTTAGACTTTTCAAAACCATGCCAAACGGGCCCTAAGGTGAAATGTATCACAAAGTCACAAATGATACTGCAAAAGTAGATAATGAAATAGATTTACATTTCTAGATTATCTATAACAATAATAAAGAAAAGATTCCATTATACATGAATATAAAGGTACTTGAACTGGGGGGAATTCTAGGGGGATTATATTTTACAGCTATAAGAGGTAGTCAATTTCCTTAAAACATTGTCAATTAATCATTATATGACGTCAATAGCATATGCATGGACATACCAGAAACTAAAAATGTTGCAATATCACAAAACAACATAATTTGGTTTTAATTTGTTACTTGTCAGCTTAAGCCCACCAAAGCTAAATAAAAAAACAATTTATATTGAAGCTTTTGAAGTTGATTCATGATCATCTATTAGAGTGGGCAAACAAAATCATACCTTATTACCGATAGCACGCCCCAGACCGCAAGGAACTGCTGCAACATCAATATCTCCAACATGGCCTCGAATATTGACTCTAACCCTAAAAGATAATATTTGTTTATCAGAGACTGAAACTAGACATCATGAGAAGTCCTATTAAGAGCCAATGACAGAAGGTATGTGCATGCAAAATATTATTTTGCCAGACTTGCTTTATAGAGGGTATAATTTTCCACATTATTTAGTGCTTGTTTGCCTTCCATTATAATCTCCTTATAATTTAAAGGTCAAAGTTAAACTTTGATTTTAACAGACCCACAACTAATACCTACTTATCCACCATTCATTTCTATCACACTATAATTTGTAACTAATGAAACCAAACAAGCACTTATGTGTTATAGAAAATGAAGGAGATCAATCATAATATGAAGGGGAAACAGAAGTAGATATAGCACGTGCATATACATTCCATCAAAATGGAATCGCTACCGTTTATGCAGCCCTCAAAACAAGTAGATAGGTTTAAATGAAGTAAATCAACAATATTCTCAAAATGAAGGGAAAAGTAGAACACTGAGAAACAAAAGAACATTGGCTTGAAATCCCAAATTGCCCTTTCCAAAACAAACTTGAGAAGGGAAACCTTTGTCAAGGCAATCAAAAGCAGCGGAAACTTCAGCATGATTTATTAAAACTAGAAGTTCAAAAACACATCCCATTTATGTTCAACTTCTAAATTATAGGATCAAAAACTAATATTCCATGTGCAATGCAATACTAACCACACAGCAATTAGCAAGCCTGCTAACTGTCTGGAGCCAACACGTGAAAAAGTCGCCCCTTCATCCAAGGTTTTTCCTATCATGTCTATCCACCACTGCCCTGCAGCACTACCCTCAAGACCCATCTGCATTTAATGCATGTTTATATTAATATGGCAACGTTCAACTCAATCATCCTAAATTAGAAAATAAAAAAGACAGAATCAAAGAACAAGCGCATATATTATCTGCAGCAATTAACGGTTTCAAAGAATTAACTAACAAACCGACAAGGGAGAATAACAGATGAATTGATCATTCCAAGTATAACATATATCCAACGCAATTATGTTTACAGTTTAGGCCTCAAAATAGGCATAACAAGTGATAGAGTTCCTTCAACCCCCATTTGATGCTATGCATCACAATAATTATCTGGGATGCACAAATATGCACATCATCTGGTACTGATATCAATGGCAGTCACTTGCACACAGAAATAGTTTTTTTACCATTCAAAGTTTGCGTGCAAAACATATCATATGCTTAAAAAAGTTTCTGAAACTGATAGCATGCAAAAAATCTTTGATTAATCTCTCCTTGACCTGGTGAAAACACGAAGATTTACCACCAAATCTGAAAAAATAAAAAATGAAATAATGAAAGAGAGGTGTTTTACAGTTTCTTTAGCAGCAGACACTGCTAGAAAACCAGCACCCATTTCCACTTCCTGCAACCCAACAACAACGATATCAATGTCTGCAGCTGCAGAACATAGCCATGATATAAGGGAATCGGGAGATGCTCTTCCTTGTCCAACATTCCATGTTCCAGCCAATATTTTCAAATTCTCTAGCCTAGTATACAAGAACTCCTTCCCAGCCAACTCTGAACGCAGTATATGATCAAGTGGTCCAGGAGAAGTAATGCTCCATCCACGTATACCACCATGATTAGCCAAGGTGAAAACATAACCAGCCCCAACAGCTAAATCTATCAACGCACCGCTATGAGCCACCCATCCTCCAAGTAAATTACCAGTTAGATCCAACACCTGCATGTGCCCACTTACATAACCTACCCATATTCGCGACCCAAATGTACAAAGGCACTGAACAGCAAAAGAATGGTACTGGAATTCTTGCAAGCGATTGCCATTTCCATCCCACTGCACAAGTAATCCATTTGAGAATCCAGTCCAAACCATTCCATCAATTGTAGTGATCAATGCTTCAGTTCGTCGATTATCATCTCCGAAAGCTCCTTTTGCTGCAACTCGACGAACAGCATCTGCTGCTCCTAATATGGCATTACGGGAACGCTGAAAGAAATTGAATGAGTTTTGTGGCTTCTCCTTCAAACCAGATACAAACTTCATTCTCACTTCTTCCTCCATCAGAGAATCTTGTATTGATGACATGTTTTCAATCTGACCATCTATGTTGAACAGTTTCAGTAATTCCCTTGTTCGAGCATCCCTGTAAAAAAGAACGTCCTGATAATTCAACCTAGTAAAATAATTGAAGGACTAGAAAGAGTCTAACAACAAGCAATCTAGAAACTAACAGAAGATGAGTAAGAATCTTATCATGTAATGGCCCTGATTCGTTATGATAACCCTTCAATTTTATTTTTACATTCTTATATATATAAAAACTTACACATATACCATATAATATATATAAACTTACACATATAGCAAGAAATTGTTGTTAAGCTGAGTGTGTAGAAACGTGAAAATAAGAACTCTCAATAATCAAAATGAAACAGTCATACACAACAAAAGAGTAGTGCACCTTGAAGACTAATCTTATAAATCATACTTCCTCAGGCCATATTATGTTGGTGAATGATGCTGTGCAAACACCAAGCTTAAGGATTTACACTGCTTCGTATGTCCAAGAAGACTAGTGTATGCGTGAATGCAAATATGCCTGTGTGAGCATATCATTTGGTATTTGAAGAAACAGTCTTATTTCTCCACGAGCTATTAGCAAAGCACAAATGAATTGATTGCATTCTCAAACTTCACTAAACTCTAAGTTTCAGATTAAGGTTGCACTGTCGTGAATTAATAGAATAGCACATATGTGAATATTAGATCCCATCTGAATCCAGAACAACTGGATATAAGCTTACCAAAGTGCAAATGACATATAGCCAGCACTCCAGACCTTTGCTCCACAACGATCCGATATCATATACTTGACATCCGAAGTGAACATGTTATTACAGGAACCAACACCACTTAGTGCAGCTTGGCTCCTCAGATCAATATATGACCTTTCTACTAGTAAAGCAGCCATATGCCTTTCTCCAATTGTAAGAGTGAGGGATTTTTCAATAGCTTCCCAAGGCCAGATCTTAATTGCACCACCCTCAGATCCCGACCACAAGTCCCCTACATCAAAGAAAAAAACTCAGTGAAAAAGATCATAATGTCTATAGATATTAGCTAATACCAAGTAAATTTGGTATTGTTTATTGAGATTTCAATACCACAAGAAATGCAAGAAAAAGGGAACAAGATGCCCAAGCAACCATGATAGAAATAACAGGAAGAATATAATTCCAAGAAAAAGTTGTTGACATTCCCAGGCAAAGCAGAAGAGCACCCAATGGTTGAGAATGTGGGCAATAAAAGAACATCATGTGCATTGATGCACGGTAATGAGATTTATCCAGATTCTTGAACAGCTTTATTTTACTCTCAACAAATGAAGTTTATGAAGGCACCGGAAAAGGGGGAGCCTAAGAAGCACATATACGGATACTTAGTTCAAATACGATATGATACGGATACGCCGATACGTCTTTTTTGAAAAAATAGAATAAGATGATACATATTATAAAATTCAACGTAATTTTATTAACATATAAAGCATTAATGTAGAAACATGATAATAAAACTAAAATAAAATATTTATCTTAATCATTAATTGTCAAAACTTCATTCTCTTCAACACAATCAACATTAATTTCTTTATTATTATTAAAAAAAAACATTCTCGAACTCTGGCTCATCCAATGATAAATTAGCAATCTCAAGCAATCAAACATCTTCAAGAGTATCAAATGAATCTCCGACAATGTCCCAGATTTTGGATTCTCTTTTTGAATAAAGATATAATTTTCTTAACTAAAGAAACAAATCATTATGAATGAAAACTAATTTTTCAGCTCGTTGTAGAGTAATTGTATTCCTTATCATAGAATGCACAAAAGAGTACACACTCCAATTTCTTCTAGAACTAAATGAAGAAAGAAGTCACATAAAAAGTTTCAAATCAATGATTTATAGTAAAGGTGCATGTGAACCATGAAGTATCGGATACCCATCGAAAATTATGCAAAAATATAAAATAATTAAAAAAAAAACGTAGTGGATACGTATAATTTTAAAAAATATAAATATAAATGAAATAATTAAAAAACAAGTATCCAGTATGTATCGGAGGATGTCGAAGAGTATCGGAGATTGAATAGGTATCAGATACTGGTACGCAACAAATTTACAAGTATCGATGCTTCTTAGAATGCACAACCTAAATACACTATCAAGGAGTTTTCGAGCCTTTCTAATAAAACATTTTCATCAATTACACTGGTAAACAAGTTGTGACTCTTACTTATGCTCGAGGGTCCAAATATGAATCTTGGGGTCCCTATTTAAGAACTTTTGGTTAAATCCCAAATTTTCCTAGTCGACTTAAATCAAAGTCAGACTCAATTCTCATACTAAACCTTGAAATCAATGTTCACCTGACATTCCATTGCTACTCATTGGCACGCATAATGCATGCAAATACCACACCCCGAAGATAAGATTATTCAGAAAAGAAAAAGAACCTATATAACCAACAAACTAAAATCAATTTCTAGCTTACCCCAACAATAAAATCGTCAGCCTCAAAAACTTAAGAGAATATGTTTGACTCCACAAATATCCTAAATTTTGAACAAGCTATCATTCGTCACCTCTTGCCCAAAACTAAATCAGAGTCAAGATTCAGTAAGAATTCGAACGCACTCATGCGTCCTTTACCATTGATGTAATAAAAATGGATGAGATAAAAAAAAATTACTAGAAAATCCAAAATAGTGAGATACCATGAGATGTCATGGCCATGGAGAGAACCGGCCCTCGATGCGCCTGCCATGAAAGTGCCTCTTTGAACCCACTTCTATTACCAGTATCATTCCCATTTCCATTAAAATCCATCATCTTCCAACACCTAATCCTCCCGTCTTTATGCCCACTCCACACAACTCTATTCCCAGCATCCCCAACCACACACATCGTGGCTGGGCACTGTACAGACACACAATACCTCACCGTCCCCTCCTCCTCCCCTTCCTCCGCCCCATAACCATATATCTCATTCTTCAAATCCCAAACCCGGATTCCACACTCCGAACCAGACCATAACTGCGGTCCAGTGTCATCATTCACACAAAAAATGTTCCTCAAAAAGCACCCCACTTGGGTTTCTCTCAATGGGTGTGGCCTTATCTCCAGACTTGGCGGCCGGCCTGGGTGCACCGGGGCTCTCAACGGCGGCTTAAACACTCCACTCCCCCCAATGGTCCCAATAAACTCCGGCAACGGCTGGTTTTTACTAGTATCCGGTGATGACGAAGAAGAAAGCTTCCTATCAAGAAATTGGATCATGTAATCCAGCCGTTTCTGAACAGAATCATTTTGCGATGATCCGCTGACGCCATCATCCTCATCCTCATCTGAGGATGAGTTGTAAAACCGGTCGAAAACTTTAGGGGTTTTTTGGTGATTTGACGAAGCATCATCAAGGCTGAATCTCATGGTGTTAGTATTGCTTCTAGCTTCATTTTTGTCGTCGTCATCATCGGAATTGACAGTAAACTTGTCAGAGTAAAAGTGAAAATTGCGGCTATGGTGAGAATTTGTGGGTAATAATTCATCGTCGGTCTGACCGTCCATTGTTATATGAAGTAATTATGAAAAAATCTTGAATTCTTAAGAAGTTTTCGGACAGAGAATTGAAGACAGAAATATGGCCGAAAGAAATGGAGATTTTTTTAAGTTTTTCTTTCCATTTCTTTCTGTGTTGATTTGGCGTGGGATGGGTTGTGGGAATATTTCATTGTCGGTCACCCAACTTACGAGTTCATTTTAGTTTGATCACCTAACATTTTTATCGACGATTTTACTATTATTAAAAAATAGAATTTGCGACATATATGTTACCACACAATTATTTTTTGGTGTGGGAAAGATGATAAATTTTATATTTCAGTTCACGACTACCGTTTTTTAAGAGGGTATGGGTAAAGTATTTAAATTGAAATAAAAATATAGCGATCGAAATTAAAGAAATCTGTACATTTGGGGACCTCCATTGAAATTTACGAAGAGATTGTTCTTGGAGGGGCAACCACCATGGACGGTCCACGGTCTACCTGTCCATTGTCTACTATTCACCAAACATTGAGTGGGTCATGCTATTTGTACATATCATTTTACACTTTCGGTTATCCGATCCCACCTCCTCCTCTCACATGGGGGTTGGGTCCTCACATGAGGTCCCATCATGTGAGAGAATGAGTAAGGTTGGGTAAACTAAAGTGTAAGCCAACAAGTACAAATAATTTAATTGACATTGAATTTGTCATACCATTATTTGTGTCAATATCTTCAATAATTGGGTAAAATAATACACCCAATTGACTATAATCCATGTTATGAATTTGGAATAAAGTTGGTTGTTTCATTCTTTATTTTTTTAATTGAGAAATATAAGGAGAAGAAAAAAATTGGGTATATGTTTAACACGGAGTTTTCGATGTAATTATTTGAATATCCTTATCGAATTTGAATGTCTCAAACTTATATTAGATTTTGTTAGCACAAATTTGTTTTAATTTATTAATTACTTTCATAATTATGTTGTGATGTTGTATGTTATGCACTAAAAGATCCATCACATAATTACCGATATCGTATTTAACGCATTTTAATTGTTAGTGGTATGTGTGTGAATAGAGTTTTAACTCGTTCCGATTCTATGATACCGTTTAATATTGTATGTACCTTAACAAATGTGTAAGGGATGTGAATTTCAAATAATATACGTGGTTAGTTATTAGAAATGTTTATAGAAACCCATGTTAGAAGTCCTCAAATAGAATTGTTTCAAATGAATCATGCTTGGTGTGCATTCTTGTTTATACTTTGTTACATAGTAAACTGTCATTTGACAGTTTAAAAAACTATCTTTCTATCCAATTAATTCTGGATAACAATGCAAATATCAATAAGAGTGTACAAATGGCAAAACTCATTTCAAATAATTATTTGGTTTTTACCCAAGGGTGCTAAGACGATTGTTTTCATAAACCTTTAATTCTTGAACATGAATTGGCAAAGCATGTATGGCTTGGAATACGCACAATCTTACATGTCTGACAAAAGAAAAATAAGATTGATTTATAAGTAAAAGAACATTTCAAATTGATACGAGACAAATTGATAGCATGTTTGAGCCTCATTTTTTGGAAATAATATATTTTTATATAGTGTTTTGATTGAGAATGTATGGTTAAAAAATAAGAATTTTTTTGAATATAAGTGTAATATTATTTTATTGAAAAATGTGTGATTGAAAATAGGACAAAAATATATATTTTTTGAAAAAAAAAATAAAAATCAAACAAGGTATGAGTTGGAGTCAAAATAGAATCGTGCAAACGAGGTCAATAGCAGACCATACAATACCAAGTAGACTTAAATGTTACATGACTACCCTCAAAACACATTCTCGTAATGTGTACTTTTGTACTTAATTGCAAACTTTTTTTTTTTTTTTTTGTGTTTTGTGCT